AGATGTAAGAGAAGGGCTTGGGGCTGAGGCGAGGGGATTCTTCAGGCACAAGTATACCATGATAGCATAGAACAAAGACCAGCACCGCCAAGCAGACAACAGCAACACAAAGCATCAGCGTAAGCAAAGGCACTCTGAATTCCTTGGATGTCTGTGAGCTTGTCACACACTGCGCGGCTGTCTCCACCAGACACGGGATCGCCTAAGAAGGTGGGATTACGGATTGAGGGAGTAAGGGTCTGTAGCAACGCAGAACGTTGAGCATTCTTGCTAGTTGCCGTCATTCAGGCTCAGGCCTGAGTTTCAGAATGCGGCGGACTCGGAGCTTGAATGAAGGTTTAACAGAACAGGGCCTACTGTCTGCGTGTGGCAGGTATGCACTGCACTGCTTGCTTTGCGAGGCCTCAGACATAAACACCTCGACACCCCTCACACGACCCAGCAAAGTTTAAATTGCTCACCACACAGCTTTGGGAGTTACGCAGAGAAGTCAGCTACATCACAAGCCAGAGCCTGAGTCAGCCCTACAGTGATCATGCAGAGATTGGTAATCTTGGATCAACCTGAACCCCCCACACCCCGGACAAGATCCCCAAGCCGAAATAAGCATCAACGCACCAACCAGCACAGCAAGTGCAGGCCCAGTCGCCCCATGTTACCACAGCACCGTCCGCCTTGATACCCGCAAAGGCCCGCAATGTGGCCTTCACCACCAAGCTTGGGGAGATAATGGGCTTTCATTCAAGATTCCTTATAAAGCTTCAAAACTATCCGGGCCAAGCATTTTGGGCTTATAAGGCTTCAAAACTATGCGGGCCAAGCATTTGGGCGTGTGAAGGTGCCGAAACCTGACAGGCTGGCCGAGGGATGAGGCTTCTTTGGACTTCGGCAGTGTGGGGCGTCCTTTCAGAATCCGAAGCACGTCCTGATATCCGCGGATTTGAAGTATGGCTTTTGCTTGCTGCAGGGCGCCCTTCGTTCTTCAAAGCCGGGAAGCCTCTTCGGCGAGCCGAGGTGCACACGGCTCTTGAGCCGGTGAGGCCGGTGAGTTGTTGGGACTGCAGGTTGTGGACTTGATGTGCAGGGGTTGAGATTCGAAATGCAGACTGCCATCACTGCCGAAATTCTCCAACACCCCCTTGTTCACAAGACCACCGACTGGCTTGCGGGACCCGGACCCCCAAGAAAACAGCATAGCCTGGCCCCATCCTACCACCTTTGCAGTGGAGATGACATGTGGCCTTGGGCTTCCCGGACTCATCCTGAAACTGTCCATCGACCCTTTAATTAAACCTGTCTGCAGCCTCAATCTTCTGCACGTTGACCAGCTGAGATTGTACCTGGCTCGTTGCCCAAAGGCGTAGGGAGCGTTCGAAAAGGTTCAGGTTGTAGCTGTACAGTAAAACTCCAAAAAGTTGGAACATCATGATCCCCATACCCCAAAAGGCATGCTAAGGGGAATCCCGGCTCGAATCATCCTTAAACCAGGTTCCAACTTTCTGGAGTTTGCTGTAATGAGAAGGTGCGCTTTTTGGATCTTCAGGCTGCGTTGAGAGACATGGGGCTTACAGCTGCAGGCTTACCATACTCTGAAACCCATGGATGGCCGAAACTCTATAAGGCCTTCAGACATCTTGGCCCCAGTTCCTCCCGAAGCAGCTGGAGTGACAGAAGCACCGAAGCCCTAAGAGTAACAGCCCGATTCCGAAGCTGCTGGCACCTCCGGGATGTACTACTGACGTGTCGCTGACCCCACTCCCTTTCGCCCCCCTCGCTTCAATCTTCAGGTGGTGGCATCTCAGCATATCAGTTGCATGTTGCTTTCGTAAAGACATGACAGAGGCGTCTAAGGCGAACGTACTTGAAGCCTAGCTTTCCAGGTCATGTTGTTCCATGAGAATGCAAGGACTCTCTCAACAACTCGAGAGACTCAGAGAGGCAGCCTGCATCCCACAGCCCTAGCTGTTAGCGTTCCGCCATTTTAACCCCGACTCAGATGAAAGTATGATGAAAGCGTGCCCCTCCGGCACCCCTCGGCTGTCGCCACCGTGCCGCGCGCTGCCCCAAGTCACCTCAGCACGGAATGCGGGGTTTTTTAGGGTTTGGGGCCTGGAAAAGTTTAGGGCGATAACATCTTGAGCAATCTGAGCCATCTCAGCTCACATCGAATCCGATGGTTGTCAGTCCCATATCCGCAAAGACTTCGGACTTCATTCAGCATGCCCTCAGAGTGAACGGAGGATACAAGCAAGGAGGAAGTACGTATGTCATATAGATCCGAACTAGTACATATGCAGCTATTTCCTAGGGCACGTGTTGTTCAGAAGGTGCCCCCATGTAAGGGAAACTCGCGAGAATGCTAAAGCTAGGGCCTCCTGTGGTGATGTCCTCTTCGGGACTACGACTCGTTTCAACCTCGATGCCTCCCCCCCGTATGAGCCCTACACGTTTACCCCATACCCCAATTATTTAGAAATAACCTCCCCATAAAAGGTTTGAATCCCAAACCCAAGCTTCGCGACGCCCGCAATAGGTTTCCCTCAAAAAAGCTAGCTCGACAGCTGCGGCCAGGATCACGACGCGTCCGCCGCGTGTAATGGCAGCAAACGCTGCGAGCGTGGCCTTGGCAACGAAGACATTACTAGGCTTGAGGAATTTCGGTACTTCGGTTGTCAGGGATGGGCATTCGGGCTCCTGGAGATTGTCATTGCTGGTTCAAGGCGCTCAGGGCACTCCTCGAAGAGGCCCGAGTTGAGGCTTAAAAGTTCATGCACTCTCTCAAATCGGGCGATGACAAGTCGCGTGAATGCGCTGCACGCCCACCAACTCGCTGGCCACTGCGCTGCAGTCGCCGCCTTCTTGAGGATGTCCCCAGGTGACAACCTTTGTTGCTGGTATAGTGGAAGGAGTTGAAGGTTTGCGGCGGAGAGCTTCAGGCTTGTATAGTTTCGTGATGCCGGGCACGGGGGAAGGGTTGCTTCAAGGGCTGCTGCCTGAAGATTGTGAGAATGCTACATTGCCCCAAACCATGCGGCCAGGCGCGCCCCCAAACCCGAATAGGACCGCTTTTGGACTTAGCGAGCCGGTTCGCCTGAACTTGATCCCTATGAAGCTTGTGTGGGCCACTCTTACTTCTGAGGGCGACACTCCTCAGCCTGGGAGCCGATAACCGACAGCCCCGACAGGCGAAGTTTCTGAATGCAGAAAATATCTTGTCGGGCTGCCGTGCCGTCGGCCCGGATGCCGGCAAAGGCCGTGCCGTGGCTGTGGCACTGAATGCAGTGGCCCGGCTCACTCACCTGTTGCTTCAAGCTAAGACACTCAACTCCTCTCGACCCTGCTTTACGAGGTGCACCCACCTGAACGAAAAGAAAAAGCTTGTAAGGGCTTAGGCTTCTAGTGGTGCACCCCAAGGGGCGATAGCATTGAGAAGGTCCCCATCGGCCAAGCCCAAGTCTCCCAACTTGGCGTTGCCCTTCCTCAGGGCCAGGAGGGCGAGGAGGGGGCTCCGGAGTAGGGCAGCCCCATGGAACCAGGTGCTAGAAACTCATGTTCGCCCTTCAGATAGTTTCGAGTCCGCGAACCGCCCAACAACCCCGGAGCGAAGCCAGAACCCAACATCCAGCCCCCCCCGAACTCTAAGCTAAAGGCCAGGAGCAGGCAGTGTCCAGCAGGAGATACCAGTCTTTCGATGCGGACGCTAAGTTGCAGCCTCAGATGCTGATCAGGGCTGCCGTGTCTGCAATGCTACTCGATGGTCGCAAGGCGTTCAGACGTTCATCGAAGGCTCCTTGGACAGAACCGCCCCCTAGCGTCCAACACCATCATGAAGCCGGCCGAAGCAACATGGTAAATGGCAAGTAAATGGTGAGGTTATCAGATCAGAGTTGCTGCGCCAGCCTCCTCAGTTCGTTCACCAGGCTCTCGGGCGAAACGGCGCCTCAGGGGAAGACATTCAAGGGCTAGGCTCGGGGTGTTCGGGGAGGGGCTGCTGGAAGACAACATTTGGAAGCCACAAGCTCAAATGTTTCACTGGTGGTTTTGTGGGGGGGGGGGGAGCGGTGGGTGCACAGAAGAATGTGATCATGAGATGAGAGTACATGTCAGCACAGCACCTCTAAAGCTCAGATGTGGCAAATGATTTTGTAAAACTCAAAAGAGGACACTACAAGGCCTAAACCGCCCACAGTCCAACCGAACGCCCATGATCTGAGGTTTTGGGCTTTTGGGGCTTCGGGTGTTGGACGCATCTGGGCTTCACAGCGTTGCCCCAAACATGTTGAGCCAACCGACTGGCTAGCTGACTCCGCCAAGTGGCAGCACGCGCTCTGTCCGCTCAGGAGCACCACTGTGACGTGCATGGCTTCGGTTTGGAATGTCTACGATGGTCTGATTTTATGGCCACGTGCTTCTATGATGGAGCTTGACAAGGATGGGTGGAGAACTTGAGGCTGAGCTCTGGATGACAAGAGCTGAACAATGAACCTGTTAGGTCTATGGTTGAAATCATGTGACGAGCTGTTTGGAGCTCTAAGGATTTCAATCCTCGAAGGCATTCTCAAATCCCAATCCTTTGCCGTCGACACGAGGCCTGAGAAGTCACGCAAATCTGAACCCAGGCATTCGGCACCGGTCATGGAAACTCTAGCTCCGCTGCGCTTTGAGAAGCCTTCCAAGACTCTGCGAACAACTTCACCACTGTGAGACCTGAAACCCTGGCTCCCTCCTGAACCCGAAACCCTAACCTCTATAGTCTATAGTACATGGGCTCAAGTTCTAAGCTCGACCAGTGGGAGGCAGAATCCAATAGAACCGTTAAAAGAACGCAATTGAAATCCTGAGTCCTTCAGAATCAGACTCTGAGGATCCAGCGCTGGGGGTCCCCTAAAGCCCATCACCTCTTCAATCCTAGCAGAGGGCTTTACATTGGCTTTATGGCTCAGGGGGCCCAAGGTGCTTGCGTCCTCTTGGGGGAAGCGGGGCAGCTCCAAGCGCCGGACCGTGTCTTGCGTGAGCGTCCGAGTGAGCGTGCGGCCCCACGGGTTGTCGAACCTGAAGGGGAGCTGAGTTGCCCTTCAGAAGTTGCGTCGTCGTCTGTAGTCGGGATACTTCTTGGGCCACGAAGCCAAGCGGCTTGCGGCCGAGCGTTTATTGGTGATTATTACTTCTCAGATCTTCTAAGGGAAAGATGTGGGATTGCGTCCATACCAGTGCGTTGCTCAGTGTCGCTGCTTCTGGTTGCAGCATTCCCCTCACCTGTGCCCAATGAGCCCGAAGTAGACGATGCACCTGGGAACCCACCTTGAACCCGCACAGGAGTCGGCTTCGAGCTCGTGGCAGCTGAGACAGGCAAAGCCGTAGCCCCGGAACGTGCCAAACCCCTTGCGTTGGGGCCCGAACTCCGTCACCGAAAAGGCCACCTCTGTGCCAGCAGGCCAGTCCACAGGCCTATCGAAAGCGCATCGCAGTGGAACTGTGGTGGAGACGGAGACATGTCAACCGGCTTCATGGCCACATTTCTGCATCCCAGCTGTCGAGCGGATTTGAGAGCCTACTCAGTCATGACCGAGATTAAAACGGGGTTCTGGGTGCTCTGCCCGGTGGCGTTCATGACGCAGGCCGTCTCTTCGGACGCTCCAATGCTCTGCGCAAGGCGGAGCCTGGTGAGATCGGAAGCGGGGCTTCAGAGTCCTATAGCAAGAAGAAAGCCACATTGCAACCTTCCAGAAAATTCACCTTTATATGCATTGCTGGGCGGCACAGGACTCAAGAGTGTAAGAAACGCTAGGGGCTCGCTCTGAGAGTCGGACCAAGTGTCGGCAATCGGCGCGCCGTATGTTTTGACCTCGACTTAGTGACTGGTGGAACATGGCGCGTGCCAAGGCTTGGGGTTTCGGAGGTTTGGCTAGAGCAAGCGCGCGATGCGGATCAAAGGAACTGCGTGACTCTTGCTTCCATGATTGTTCCTATAGCGCGGTAACTCCAGGCACGAACACGCCGCAGGGCAAAGCTGCAAAGCTGATCATGGAACCACCCCAAGACTACAACAGGCAACAGCCATGGCAAGCCGAATGCGCACAACTGAAGCCCGCATGTCTGAAACTGCAAATCTCCGAATCTCAGATTCGCACCTGGCCGATGACGGCAATCACCTTCTAAAGTGGCTTACAGAGAGTGAGTGAGAGGGTGAAAGGGTCACGCGTTTAGGATGCATGACTCCAGGAGCCCGAACTCCACTGCAGAAGAGCGAACCGATCATTTGACAATTCCTCAGACTTCTTTGACGCAGTGCATGCAGTATCAAAAGATAGTCATGGCTGTGGCGCACAAACACACTCACACTCACACTCACTCACACACACACACACACATACAAACACCACACACCACACACCCACCCGTCACACATCACACACCACGCACCACACACCACACACCGCACAACGCACATCACATAGCACACATCACACACACACACACTCACATCACACATCACACATCACACAACACACAGCACACAGCACACAGCACACAGCACACAGCACACAGAACACAGCACACAGCACACAGCACACATCACACATCACACACAGACATGAGGCAATCGTGCCTGGGGCTTGGAAGTTAGGCTTTGGGCTCTAATGAACATGAGCGCTGCCTTGCCCCAGAGAGACTGCTCTTGAATGTAGACGTAGTCCTGGCCACGTGCTCAACAAAAAACTCTTACTCTAACTTGTAGGCCATCTGCGGTTCGGGGATGAGCAATCTGCACATCGAAGACTTCTGAAGCAGACCGCCGGCAGCTTGTAATGGATCCGTCATCGTGAAGACGGAAAATAGCCAAAAGAAAACTTTGTGGCTCGCACAGAGGAACATTTCTCTGAAGAAACCTATCCAGACCCTGATAATAAGATAAGACTTGTGGAGGCTTAGAGCTTGTGCTTTGGGTCGGGGATGAATGAGTACAGAGCTATTGTCCGTGGCGAAGATCCCCATCCTTCCAGTCTTCAGGATTGTAGAAAATTCGGGCGGGAGGGGGGGCCGGGGGTGATTAGCGCTCTACACTCTACGGTTCTCAAGCTCCAACGGGGCTCACTGGCCTCCGTGTTGAGCACATCACCGCTCAGCCGGATCGTCACCTGGAATAGCTGGAAAACCCCCATCATCTCGCTTCTCGCTGTTGCACAAAGGAATGAGAATTAAAAATCTTGCGGCCAGAATCACCGAAAGCTCCCTGCAACGCACAAACCATTCGACTATCAAGGATAGCTCCGACCCTAATCGTGGGGGCCATGTCCTAAATAGCCATCACTCTTGCTTGGAATCGCGATACTACTTGATCGTTATCCCTGATGGTCTGGGATGCACCCCAAAACCTGTCATCGCTCTTATAAGGACCACTCATTTGGGAATGTCTTTGCATCCAGTACCCACCTTGCTGCCCGTGTCCTTCCCGAAAGGATGCTGCGGTGTGCCTTGCTGGGGCCGTGCTTCTGAGAGTGAACTGAAGCTCTGAGTTTTGCTATGAGGTTAAGATTACATGGCTTCGTGATAGCAAATCCGAGGGCGCACCTCATAAGGCAGATTTGTTGGTGCCGACACGCATATTTTCTACTCATACGCCCGAGCCTCTGACGTCACAGCGAAAAGCTGAAGGCAATCACTGTGACTAGGCTTCTCCGGACTTGAAGCTCCGTCGGTGGGCTCACAGCTCGCTGAGCCGAAAAGAAACTCCAAAAAACCCTCTCCCGTGACATTCCACTCAGGCATGCACCGATCTCCAGCAGACCCCACAAGAGGATGCTGCCTGACCAGTGAACGTCCGCTATCCGGGCTTGCCATAAGTCTGCACCGAAGCCATTGACAGGCGAAGCCAGTTGTGTTACAGATCGCCAGCTGTTTCTTGGACAAGCCTCGTCAAAATGCTGGATTTACCAATGCCGGCAGAGCTCGAGAGGATGTACTCTAAACCCTTCAGGGGCAGGGTGGGGTATGCCGGGAGAGGGGGGGGGGGGTATGAAGGGGATTAACGACTCAGAACCCAAGTACCCTCCCCTTCCCACAAATCCCATTTGCATTCGTGTACTCCACCCAGCGGAGCGTACCAACAAGAATTGCACAGTCTCCAAACAGTGCAAAAACATGTTCCCGAATCCCTTAAGCCTGAAGCATCCATTCGGTTTGAGGGGGTTGGGGGAGGGGGGAACCCCCTTTCCAAACGAAAACAGGAAGCCGACACAGCCGACTGGACTGCCTACTTTCTGGTATGGTGTCTTAGAGTCCAGGGCTTGTGATTTGCCGCATAGAACCCTTTCTGTTTCTTCTGAGCCCTCATGCCTGAAGAAGGGTCCGAGGTCTAGTCTAGTGAGGTCCCATGAAAGGCGATCGCGAGCAAGCCCTCCCGTGCCTGTGGTCAAGGTTCGATCTCGGCCTTTGCAAATGCTTGGACAGGGGAGAGCGGTGAGGGATGTGAAGAGCAGCCAGGGCTGTTGGGCTCGGAGTGGGGGATCTCTGTTTTCAGAGGTAATGCTAAGGGCCGTGATTCAAAAAAAAACCCTCAATGACGACCTGACCCTGACTCCTCACTAACACCTCACTGACTCCTCACTGACTCCTCACTGCTCCTCACTGACTCCTCACTGACTCCTCAGCTCTCAGGACTCCTTTTCAGATTGGGTGCTGTCATCGAAGGAGAGCTTCCCGTTGATGGTCAGATTCTTCAGGAATACCGCGTCCTGACGCCCCCAAGGTTCCGAAGGGTCTATTTTGGGATACAACGTATACTGTCTTAAGTACCCTGAAGCCTCATCTTGCCCTATCTAGCTTTGACAGCAAATCATCGTACAGGTTTGGGGGTGTGGAGAAACACATCACAGTCGATAGAGCCTTTTGAGACTCGTCAGCAAGTCCAGCATCTTAAGCATCCTTAGCAGAAACCCAGAGCATCATGGGATCCCAAGCACGCCTAGAAGAGTTCGAGGCAAAAGCCTGACCCAGGGTCTTGTAGATCTTGAACCGTATAAGTATGCGCCAATCACTTTCATGCGAAAGTGCTGGGGCACGGGACTTTGGTAGCGGTGCAGAGCACAAATGTGGACGGACAAGGCACGGGGCTACGGCTAAGGCCAAGGCTGCAAAAGGACAAGTGACCAACATCGGCACAGCCCGAGTCTTCGAACAATTCCGGGAACCGAAAGCAGGTGCAGAATCAGAACCATCACGGGTCCATGTCGAACAAGATCCAGTCTTCTGTGTCGATGGTGATCGCCTGGTTCGTTGCGTCACCTCGGTTCGAGGGAGACCCGCAACTCCCTGTGCACCAACCCTGGCTCGTTGAACGCTCGAAGGCCTGGATCTTGAACCTTTTCGCCATAATCTGCACGAGCAACCGTCCATCAGGAAGTTGCACCACCAGGCTTTGAGAGAGTAAAGCGCATTTAGCTGCTTACGTACAAACCATAGTTTACATGGGCTTTGGGTCTTGTATCAATCCAGGCAACAGCGCAAAGTCCACTCGTGGACCTTCATCCCTGCCAGCATGTTGAGCCAAAGCTTCCCTCAGCAGAACCTGGAACTCAAGAATTGCTTCCCATGGCCTGCGCCTCAACCCTCTCGGAGCATCGAACCAAGCAGCAAATACGAGAGAACCCACAAGACCCATGAACCCCTTGACAAAGACCCCGAACTCCCACACAAGTCCGAAGATGGGACCCCCGTGTGCTGTGGCGCGGGGCCGAACTTCTCACTCCACCTGGTGGGGCTTTCCGGCTTCAGGACTTGAAGAGCACACAGAAGAGTTGGAGGCTTGAAAGTCACAACGGGCACTCGATTTCCAGGAGCTCACTTCGCACAGCACCCATTCCGTTCTCTGTCAAGAGCTCATTCTGCAGTCGTGCCTTCCCCCGGTTCTCGACGATGGGTCTTAAGCCAAGAAATTGTACGAGAGCAACCCACCCATTACAAACTCAAGCAATATGTTCTAACCAGCTGTAAAGTACATGCGTATACAAGTCTGGCTGTAAAGTACATGCATATACAAGTCTGGTAATATTGGATCATGCACTGGTCAACCACAACAGCCCTGCTTAACTGGCGGGGGCTTCAGGGTCCTGTGCTTCCTGGCCCACCCCACACAGGAACCGAAGACGGCGAGAAGAGCTTCGGACAAGCAACCATTGAGGGTAAAGAAGCAACTCGGCCCTGGAGCGACGCTCCCCTCAACCCCCAGGCGCACAAGATGTAGTGGTCCCAACTGTGGTTGCGGTCTGGGATACCTGCCAAGGTATCCAGGGACTAGGCTTCAAAACTCTGATATCACCCCGACCGCCATAAGCCCTCCAAACCTGAACCCCGCTCGGACATTACAACAAAATCTCGGGTTCCACTCCACTTGCAGTGAAGTGAAATCCCTTTAGCAGAACGAGCAACAGGGTTTCGGGTCAGGGGAACTACCCGTTTGGGATAACTAGAGTTATAAAGCGGGAGTGCGCCTCAAAGGTCTGACAGGCTAAAGCATTCAGCCACATGGCCTAACTCCACAAAAGAGGAGGCCATTGAGGCCTGTGATGATTTTACGTGTGACCAACTCTTTGGCATGAGATCTCGCTTGAGATCTCAATCCGCACCAAATACAACTCAGGCGAAGCACTGTATGCAACCAAAGTAAAGTCCAAAAGAACCACCAACCAACTTACGTCCACTGTACCCTCAATTCCGGGCATACAGCACAAGCTCATTACTCCAGGAACATCGGCAACCACAATCCTGTCGATTCGTCGAGGTGGTGTCTCAGCGCCTCTCTGAGGAAGCCTCATACTTGAACACCTCAATTTAAGTTAGGACAGTCGCGCCTAGGATGCAGCCGGAGTCCGGGCACTTGCGAGCCTGCAAGCGGCGGGGCGTCTTCATGGGAAGCTTCTGCCTAGGGAGCTTGTGAGTCCAGGCTGCCAGAGAGCGGTTTCCATTCTATATGTAATGGTATGATGTACTTAGAAAATCATAGCATATGGATAGTTTAAGCAGTGCCATTGCTGGTGTTGTTATTGCTGTTATTGGATGACATATATACATACATATGTATATATATATATATATTACTTTTGGGTTGAAGATTTTTATTCGTCAATTAGTTGTACTTGTACTTTAAACACAAAAGAAGCAAATCATACAAACAACAAACTAATCCGTAAAGCAGATATATACAAACATATGCTAATAAACCGATACCTGAAAATACACGTAAAATATCTACTGGTTCATGGAATCATGGAAGTCTATAAGAGGTCTGCACGTGGCGTCGGAGACTATAGGGCTTCGAGATTCCACAGCAGGGCTCATACCTGTCATCACATAGATTTCCCACCACCGGGAAACTCGCCTTTGCTGTGCCTTGGTGTTGCTAATCACTGCAAACTCTGGTCATGGAGACTGTGCGGGTGTTTTCATGTGGCTTGAGGGTGGGGAGCTTTCCCTAGAACCGTTGCAAACACAAAAATCTCAATGCCTCATACAAGACCTCCTCACGCTACAGCCTTTGGAGAACGAGGCTGTTCTGGAGAATCCCTGAACCCTTCCGGCTATGAACCCCAAAGCCCATATGAAACACCCTTGTAAGCTCCTGGACACTGTAAACCTGACCCTGACATTTCATCGCAACCTGGAAGTGGGCGCCCAAAGGCTGCTGCTCCCAAGACGGTGCGTCCGCCTGAATTTCCGGGGCTGCGGGGATGTAGGACTCTAGGACTCCCGGACATACTTCTTCGGCCATGTTCTTGGGGGTCTGGGGGCTGTATGTCTTTGAACCAGGATTGACTGAGGGGTGCAAGGCAATCTTGGGCTTTGGGCTTTGAGGTGAGCATGGACATCCCCTGTCGAGTGACATGCACCCAGATACACGTGAACACCTGTCATCTACCTCTGGACCTTGCGTTTCAACCTTGCTGGCATGTGATGGGTGGTTGTGTTGGTGCTGCTCACATGGAGTCCTAGTTTTGCAGTGGACATGAAGACCTGAACCCTCACCACGGAAAGCATATCGTGTGCTAAGTGGAAGTTTCGAGGGTTGTTGATCCTGTATAGGGCTTCGGTTAAGTTCGGTTATGTGATGATCCAACCCAATCATACATTAACTTTGGTGTATAGTAGTTTTAGCAAACCTGTTTGAAACTTACTATACGTGGTTTCGCAAGTCCACTTATAAACAGGAAAAGTTCTTAGTTTCTTTCCAAAAGTTGGACAAGTTGAAATCTAGTTCTTAAGCTTGCAACTTAGCATTCGGGTACTTTTCCTGCCTTTACCAGGGGTAGAGTAGAAGGGCAAAGCACTTGAGCCATACAAGGACAAGGCATCGTGCATCGAACCCAACAGGCAAGAGGATGAGGCAGGGCAACTGGTAATTGTGCCGTTCTCAAAGACTCAAAAATAGGTGTTTCCTCACGGGCAGGCGGTAGCAACGTGGCTCAAGAAAACGGGGCCTTTCCAAGACAGAAAAGCAAAGAAAAGTCCGCGGACATAGCCCCTCGCCAAACGTGGACATCTCGCGGACGTCACACGCGAGTTTGAGAAGCAACGCGTTCATCCAGGAGACATACCAAAAAAAACAAACAATCTCAGCATAGACTGCAACCACAGACGAAAACATGTCCTCGGCAACACAGCTTGCAATCACGTGAGAAGCCATAAAACAGCCGCCTGGTTTCCACAGCAAGTCATTGAGTCACCGCTTGATCTGCAAGATAAATTGAAATCGTTGCAAGAAACAACTTCTCAACATTAAATTTTCACAAGTAGGAAATAAGATCAGAATAAACAGGACAAGTTGTGTCTCACAGGTTTCTGAGAACTCATAGAACATAAATTCTGAGCTTACAGATACTATCATCTATGTTATAGGCGTTGTGGCATGTTGTTATTTGGCAGCCCTCAATGTATGGCACGTTGTCACGCCCGCACAGGTCTGCTTTAAGGTCCATCCTCCTGCAACTATCTGGAGCCCCAGAGCGGGGAGGACACTAGGGCCCAAGCCGGCAGTGGGAAGCGGAAGTTCATAGCCCAGGTCTTCTTGTCCTCCGCAGGTCAGGCTGTGTTCAATGTAGAGAATGCTTCAGGATACGTACATGGCTCATTGCTTAGAATGTCTGGAACAGTGACAATTCAACAGACCAGGTGCCACAACTGCCCGCGCCCGCCAGCAAACGGCAATGAAAAGTGCCAAAGCACGTCTTCACGCCCGGAGATTTTAATCTCTTACTTATAAACCCCCCTACAGGAAAAGAACAAGTAGGGCAGCGGCCTGCGACAAGAGGCTCTCTACAACTAGAAATTTGCGCGCCCTCCCAGAGATATTGAATCAATCAAGTGCCGGAGGAGGTGTTCTTAATTGGAGGTCAACATACATTAAATAAAATGGGAGGTCAATAGCATGAACGCAGGAAGCCATGAACATGATTCAACAAGTTAGACAAGGAGCAGAACTTCCTTAAGACCCTGCAAGTAACCCAGAAAAGCGGGAGGATGCCGTGCACCATCCAAGCATGTCCTTCATGCCGTGGGTCATGGACGGCAAAGTCTCCGGATTCCTATGAGGCCCCAGTATTGTTGGAATCAAAGGGGGAGCGGACTTGAGATCTCTATAGAATGGGTTTCAAAGAGGTGCGTGCGAAGACGGCACCGTAGGGACTCGGCTGCCAGTCTAGAGTCCGCACGTGTCTGCCCCGCCCTCATTCTTGCGGCACTTCGTCCCATGTGACTTGGGTTTTGAGTCTCGGATGGTATACTTAGTATATATACACCACCACCACCACCGAGACTCCTCAATCTCAAAATGGAAACATCATATACATATATGTTTCTATACTCTCAAACTTGGTAGAGAACGGTCTCTGGAAGAAGTATGTGATCACCCAAAAGTCATCTCTTCGTGAGAATCCAAAGCCTCGGCTATGGCAAATGCCGCTCAGGGGCTCCAGTGGTTCAGGCACGGCCAGATACGGCCTGGCCCAGGGTCTCTCTGTTGGTTGGTGGATCCGCCTTCTGGAGGGCGAGCTCTACGACTTTCCGGCTCTGGGGTCGAGAACAAAACAGAACAAACACAAGCACTTCAACACGAAACTCGAAGCAAAGCGCGTCTGGAGCGACCTCTTCTCCTCGTACTGCAGCGCCTGCATCTCCCTGTCCTGGCCGCCAGCGGGGCATTACAGCTTTGGCATTCAGGGCTCTACAAAGTCCGAG